TCCGCTGTGTAACCGGAGTTGACTGCGGCGACGGGGGTCGCGCCTGTCGCATCGCGATCTTCAGGATCCGCGCTGCTAGTGACTGACTGTACACAGGATCGCGGGGGAGCGATGTACGACTCCATCTCCAAGGTGGCGGTGACGGCATCGTCGAGTGTAGCGGGACGGCGCTGCCGGACGCTGAAAGCGACTTGAGGTTGCTCGAGTTGTTACATGTACATTACCACTCTTCTGGTATGCTCTGTTATATTATGTATGTGGAGTCTCACTGTCTTGGGGTTGTTAGCAGTGAAAACCATACTGCTGGTTATAGGCTGCTTCTGAGAGGGCTCAAAACCTTTTTAACTCAGTGAGTGACAGTCCACAGTGAAGTCACTAGAGTCGGAGTCACTAAGTAGAGACTTCAGACTCAGTCAATGTGGGTCATCTAGTTAGCAATCACAGTTACAACTGAAACCTTGTCCACATTTACTCACATTATTTCTGTGTTGTTTATCCTCATGTATGTGCAGGTGCTAAGGTGTTTACCCAGCAAAATACAAGAAGGAACACCAGTGTGGGCGACGAAATTTATAATTATAGTAACCCAAAATTTTTCTACATATGCCCGAAGACATGGCTCTTGACAATGGACTTCGTATACAGTAAGACCAGCATCTGGCTGAACAATGGTTGAAACGTCCATAGCTAACGATAAGGGTATAACAATATAAAATGGCCGTGGTGTATTGCTAGGATGTGTTTGCCAGGGCCTGTTGCAGATGGGTGAAGATCTCTCTCTGCTGGTCGAGGGGCAGAGACAGCAGGATGGCTACCAGCTTGTCTGGGTCAGGAGACCTGGAGTCAACAACTGCTGGTCAACTACTGACTACCACAAGGTTCATGTACATGTCTGCTGACCTGCAGAAAGTGAAGTAGTAAACATTAGCAAAGACTGCCATGAGGAGTTGGCAGTCAAAGCGGTCCACTATTCCTCCATGGCCTGGGATCACGTCTGCAAAGTCCTGCATGCAATATTTCACACTACATACATGTTAGACTCTAGACCTACTTTCACTTTGAACGCCCTCTTGAAGCCAGAGGCAAAGAAGCCCCCAAAAGGAGCTAGGAGTGAGGCAAACACTGAGAGAGCAAGGGAGTGGAGCACAGCAGGGTACAGGTAGAAGAAGAAGGTGCCAACCTATACATAATGCAGATGCGAACCAAAATTGCCACAGACTCAACTGGAAATAGACTCACATTGTATTCTTGTAGAACAAATATAGCTGGCCGCTCACAGTCTGTTCCTCCCTTGAACTAAAAGCAGATGAACAGTAATCTACTCGCCGTGGCAGGGTAGGCTCCACTTACACAGACAAAGTAGTCATACTTGGCTAGCATATGTGACAACTAAAGAATAACAAGAAGTGCATAAAAGTAACACACAAACCTCAAGGTTGGCTTACTACTAGTCCAAAGAGCATAGTGGCAAAGACTGCACCGATAAAGCCTTCCCAAGTCTTCTTTGGGGAGAGCTTGATGAGAGGTGTTCGTCCCAAAAAGAAACCTTCAGAGAATCAGCATCACGGCTGACACACTGGTCCAGAGAAAGACTCACCAAAGAGATAGGCCATGATGTCATTACAGACCACCAGACTGACAGGAACAATGAGCCAGAAGATGCTCTCAAAGGTGTTCTGGATGCTAAGGTAGGCGGGGCAGCCAAAGAGGAACAGGGTGATGTGGGTCCACGTGAACTGAGGCAGAGAGAGGGACATGAGTCAAGGTGGGGGTATATAGGTGTGCAGTTACCATGGAGAACTGGGTGTTGTAGAGGTCTTTTTGTAGAGTCAGCACAAACAAAACAAAACCTGATCACATGTACATAAAAGATTAGAGGGAGAGGGAGGAGGGAGGGTGGGAGAGCTAACCAGCCACATACAGAGACAAGCAGATGATGCGATGGTATTGGCCAAAGAAAGAAAACAAGCCCTACAATAAAATAAAATAAAATGACAGAGAGCGAAGGAGATAAGTAAGACATACAGTCGTTCCCTTGAGCTCAGGGTAATAGTAGAAGAAGTTGTCACAGTAGATGAAGATACTGGCTACTATGGCGATGAACCTGGAGGAAAACCAAGATACTGTGAGTCAGAAAGAGATGAGTGCTCACCAGTTGAGGACCCGGTAGAGAGGTAGGTTGTGCTCCCGATACTTGGAGTAGCCAATGGCTATGATCTCCTGGAAACACTTGAGCAACAAGCCAACAACCTACAGCAGACAGTGTACCATAAGCTCCCTGCGCCCCACATTTTGCCAGCTCCCCTCACCAGGAGTGAAAGGGCTATGGGTCCTAGGTATATGACGACTGCGAACAGAGAGATCATGACTATAGACAGAATCCCTCGTATCCACCAGTTCCTCCATCGCTGGTCCAGACCGCCCAACAGAGGCATTCTGTCGGAGGACTAGAGGGAGAAGGACAGAGGCTTTTTGCACCGAGCCGCACCCCTGCCTTACCTTCGCTTCACTTTCCTTGTCTTTCCCGTCTTCTCCAGTCATCTGTCGCACTCTCTTTACGGCCTCTCCTTCCCCAGACATCACTTAATGGAGACCAGTCCGGCTTTTAGCAGACCGCGGCCGTTTCTCTTCGCTCTGGACACCGATCAGCTAGAGGAGGTATGCAACAGGATAACCACACCTACCTCTCGGCACGCGCGGCATGCCACATTCACTATGATTATTCAACAGACACACACAAGAGTGTACACAGAGAAGGCACAAACACAAGGAGTCAGTAAGTCACTGCAATGGCTAAGCCTTCATCATGCGGTCAATGAGCTCTTGCATGGGAGAGAGTTCTTTCTTCTCAATGAGAGTGAACTCATGGACAAAGTAGATGAAGTGTTTGAATGAAGTGTTGAGATGAGCCTGTGGGGAGAACATACACAACAGTCACACAGGAGGACCTTGGCTTACCTCCTCCTTCAGAGAGATGATGTCATCAAAGTGGGCGTGGTAGATGTGAGCGTAGACCCTAAACAACCTCTTCAGGATGGTCTTGGCAATGGTAATAAAGTTCCGTGGGAAAGATGTTCCTGGAGAGAGATACAAAACACGCTGACACCTCACTCGATTGCCACACTCACCAATTTTGGAGGGAAAGATAGTTTCATTGTCCAGCTGGTCCTGGACCCATGTCATAAGGTAGTCAATGTACTTGGGGGCCGAGCACTTGATTGGCTTCTTCACAGATGTACCATCAGCCCAATGATACTCATACCTGGTGGAAGATGATGCACACAGGAGACAGAGAGAGAGAGAGACCTTACTTTGGTCCTGCACTCATGACGGGACAGGACTCTGTGGTGCAATGCTCTGTGATGGTTCCATACAACATGTTTATCTGATTGAAGAAGTCAACAGCTGGAAGAGAGAGAGAGAGAGCTCGTGGCGGCGTGGAGAGAAATACTCACTGTTGACAGCGATCCACTCGTTCAGGTCTTCTCCCTCGGGGAGCTGGACTGCCAGTTTCAGGTTCCCACTGCCTAGAGTGGCTGCTGCATGCTTCATCATGTCATGCTGGTGACTGCCCTCTGGGATCCGCTTGAAGTGCTTCACAGTCTTACTGCTCTTGTTGCCTCTGTCAGTGGAGGGAGAAGGAGAGGGTGGCTCACCAGTTGAGGCCCACACAAGGCAATTGGAGAGACTTGGGGCTGGCTCTCTGCCAACTGCGCCGGACTCGAGGCAGCTACTCTGGCCTCAACAAGCCTTATTCCTCCACTATTAAACAGCACAGGCTACCTTCAACGCTTGTTATTCCACTTACACAACAACTTCTAAGGGACTGATAAACTTTCTGACTCGTACATAAACGGTCAGAGCATTTCAAGGACAAAAGAGTGCACACAGATGACATTTAGAATAGACATGAACGTCGCCATACGTAACTTACAAGCCAAACAGAGCTAAGCTCATCTTCGTGGTCTATCTGTTCTCTGATTATTCTGCTCATCAATAAAAATGTTATGGTCAAAAGGGTGGAGCAACAAATTGCGTTTGCGCATGCGCAAATCACGTACAAAAAGGAGGGTGGGGCTGTGTTGTTTACAGTTAGTTCTTGTTTCTTGAAGAAACCTTTCTTCGCTTCACTTTTGCTTCTGAGAAAAAGGTGAACCAAAAACTAGGTACTCTCGTATGGTTTTACGGAACTGTTTAAACCTCTTTTCTCCAGCAAGAACCTTCATTGGAGCACGTTTATCACCGCGGGCACGCCCTCTTTTGCTGTGCGGAAAATGAAACTGTTGCGACTAACACTGCTCGTTTTCGCGTGGGGGCTCTGCCAAGCTCAAAACTTTCCTCCATCGTTCAGTAATGTTGTAGCTTCTGTGAATATCGAAGAGCTGCAGCAAGAATACACAGGTAAAGATAGTTGCGATCCGTAACCCAAAAAAACAATGTGCAAACTCTTCTGCAGATTTCGTGATATACGATGTGAATGCTACTGACCCAGAAGGCGACAATTTTACCTTTGTGATTCCTGAAAATTCGATAAATTCTAACTTGTTCAGAGTTGAGGGATACTCAGGAAGAGTGTTTACCCAGCCTGGAGTGGTACTGGACAGAGAGGTATGTAGCTAGCTAGTGACCAGTAGTCCTCTCTCCTCCAGCTGCACGCATTAATTCTACAGGTGCTGTCTCGCGACGACGACCCACTTCATCTCCTTATTGAGGCTCAGGATGGAATGCATGATGAATATCCACAATTCCGTCTCATAATAGTCTTGCAAGATGTCAATGACAATCCTCCCATCATTGCTCCTCCATATACTAGTCTATCAGTACTTGAGGTCTGTGACTTTTATTTCCAGTTCTGTGCCACATATATGTCAATCTCTGATTTTCAGGATACAGAACTTGGTTTTGTGTTGGTGGAAGTTGAGGCTTCAGATGCTGATAGTGGCAATAATGGCTTCTTCTATTTTTACCTCGACGAAACTTCCGTAATAATTATCAATAGATTACTGCCCAAACTGATCATGGTCTCTGCTTGTTAATACAGTCCCTGTTTCAACTTGAGCGTGAAACGGGGAAACTGAGGCTCATCAGAGAACTGGACTATGACAATCCTTTGACCAGACGGCACACTCTTACAGTTATTGTTGAAGTATGTGCATGGAGTCTTGCATGTTGCATGTGTGAACGTTACACATATCTACAGGATTTGGGAGAAGAGCCCCTGATGGGTCAGAGCACACTGGAAATAGTCGTGGAAGATGTTGATGATCTTAATCCAGTGTTTGAGCCTTCCTCCTATACCAAGTCCATCTCTGAGAACTCGACTTTTGTAAGCAGCTGAAATGTGTAGATAATAATTTGTTATATAGTAGTGTCTGACTCTGTTTTACTCAGGGTGCCTTTGTGGAGAGGGTCAGTGCCAGAGACGGAGACATTGGAGTGGATGCTGCTATCTTCTATACTCTTGAGGATGCAGGCAACAGCCTCATTGATGGAAACCTCAGCTTTGTCATCAACTCAACAACTGGAGAGATCTTTGTTGATGTCGCAAGTCTTGATAGAGAGACGCACTCCTCCTATAGCCTCACAGTTCAGGTCTCTCTCTTCTCTCATTCAAAGATGATGTTTTTAATAAGATCTCCCATGCACACGCATGCAGGCTGCACAGGTTAACAACACCAGCAAGTTTGCCTCAGCAACAGTGTCTATCATTGTATTGGATATCAATGATAACATACCTGTCTTCGACCCTGTCAGCTACTCTGTTTATGTGTCAGAAAATGAAAGAGTTGGCGAGAAAAGTGCTCAATGTTTCTGTCACTGATGAAGATGAAGTGAGCACCAATCCTGCACGATAATTATTATATACTGTTTTCTATGTTTCCACAACGTATGCAGCATACTAATGCTGACTTTGACCTGCACCTGGAAGACATTCTCAACAGCACATCTCCACTGCCGTTCAATGTGTCAGCTTCTGGTGACATTATCCTCTCCAGTCCTCTAAACTTTGAAATAACAGAATACTATCTGTTTAATGTCAGTGTAATGAGAAAGTGTTTGTCCGCTTCTTCTAACACCTCTCATGTATTGCAGGTAATAGCCACAGAGGCTGAAGGAGGCAATGCATCAGCACAAGTTCGGGTGAACGTGACGAATGAAAATGATCTAATTCCTGTTTTCCAACAATTAAACTACACTGGGAACATAACGGAAGGTGTATCTTCCGGTGCCTTTATTGAACAAGTAAACCAATCAGAGATTCATGCTCAATGATTCAAGGAGGTTGACCACAGGTAAAAGCTGTTGACGAAGACAAGGGAATATATGGAGAGATAACATATTCCATTTCTGGCGGCCATTTTGATGACTTCTACATTAACACCTATAGTGAGTCTTATCTCCATGGTTACCAGGACACTAGCTGCACTACTAATCTGCAGATGGAGCTGTGTTTACTGACAGGAAACTGGACTATGAGAACAGAAGTTCTTACACCATCCTCATTGACGCTGTGGACAGTGGCAACAGGTAACAGATCTGACTAGACATGTAATAGCTCTATCTTCTGGTGTACAGGACTGCGCAACATCTTGCGACACTGACAGTGGAGGTGCTGAATATCAATGACAACCATCCCTTGTTTGACAGAGAGAGTCTGACAGTCCAGCTCGAGGAAGAGACAGAGGAAGGTAAGGCTCCTCATCTCTCTGTCTGCTACCTCTCACTGGGCCTTCTCTGACAGGCTCAACTGTTGTGGCACTCAATGTAACCGACAGAGATGGAGACAACCTAACTGAGCGCACATTCTCCATCGAAGCCGGAAATGAGTTTGGAAATTTCACATTTGACCCTGAGTTAGAGTGAGTACCCACACTATGAAAGATAGAGAGGGCAAGGGGGTTTGATTGCATCTTGAATAAACAGCCCATCTCATGATCACAAACCACATACTTCATATCCACTTTGCTGCAGGAATGTGGTGGTCACCTTATCAAGACTGGACTATGACGAAAGACCTGGTCTGCAGGAACCTATTATGCTGACCATTGTCGTCAATGACACACTCTTCACCGATGAGATGATACTCACAATACAACTAGTCGATATCAATGACAACTCGCCAGTCTTTCAGAACGAGTCATACCAGTATGACCAGTAATGATATTAGCCATTGATGTAACTTTCCACTCATTCTCTACAGGTTTGAGGTTTTTGAGGAAGAACCTGCCAACACAGAGGTTGGCATAGTGACTGCTATTGATATAGACAGTGAAGAGTTCGGTGAAGTGGTGTACTCCATTTACCCCAATGACAAGTCAGTTTTGCCTGGTATGTGGAAACCTTAACTAGGCACAATATTCTTTCCACAGGTTCAGTATCAACCCTACAACTGGCAGAGTGTACACTACAGCAACTCTGGACCCGTGAGGAGCAGAGTAACTACACTGTCATCATCACAGCCACTGACCAGGACCCAGTGATGGCTTCCCGCATATCTCTAAAACTGTGCAGGCCACCATCGAGGGTAATTAATGTGTGAGAGGTAAAGGAGAATGGTTCATTTACTGGTTACTACAGTGCTGGACATCAATGACAAACGTCCCAGTTTCGTTCGTGATGAATATGAGGTTTCTGTTCCTGAGAACATCGACATTGTGAGCGATTCTGTCTCTGCAAGGGACATGGATGCAGGGACAAATGCCGAAATCACTTATGAGTTGATCCATGGAAACACTAACAATGCCTTTGTGATTGGTGAGCTCAACCTTCCCACAAAACACTGCAGTAGTATGTACCCTCCTCCATAGACCGTAAGGAAGGAGTGCTGTCGAGGAATCCCAACGTGACTCTGGACAGAGAAGATGAGGATTTCTACGTCCTCACTGTCAGAGCCACTGATGGAGGCATGCCTTCAATGAATGGCACCGCTACCATTAAAGTCACCATCATGGTAAGCTTGCTCAGGATATTCTCCAGAAAAGTTGAACTTAATCACTGCTGCACAGGATGAGAATGATGAAGAGCCAATCTTCAGCCCTACCTACGTGAGCACCAGTATCACTGAGGACACGCCAACTGATAGCTCTGTTCTAACAATCACTGCAACTGATGGCGATACTCCATCCAATGCCATGCTGCGCTACACTCTCTCTGTCACAGGTGATACAATCTCAGTCAGCTACTTCTCTTCATCTCTCCTCCTCTGATACATAGGTCCACCAGAGCCTGAGCCTGGCTGTCCTGAGCCTCCCTCCGGCTCTTTCAGTATTGATGGAGAGTCAGGATACATTGAAACACTAGGTTTCCTCTGTTCCCTTCTTTACACCACAGCTACTGCTTCTTTTGTCCTACAGGAGAGTTTGACCGTGAGGCTGTGAAGCGCCATATGTGCTGGAGATCGTAGCACGGACAGTGGAGCCGGAGTCTCTGAAGGGAACAGCAGTGGTTACTCGTGTACCTACAATGACATCAACGATGAGACCGTATTCCAGCCAGTGAGTGTGTCGTAACATCTATGTAGCCAGTGAGATGATCACTCTCAACACACAGCCACCTACTCCAAGAATTGCGCGGAAGAGCTCCAGCCGTCGAGTGTGTGCTAACCAGTAACAGCCATACCGATCGTGATTCAGGTCAGCACCAGTATGCTGAGGCTACAGACATTCTTCATTGTGGCTCTAAGCTGAACCGAGGACCAGTCACTAGTTGCACTCATTCATTTCATGGTCAGAATCCTCAACTGGAGTAGTACAGTACTGACCACGTAGTGAGTTGGTACTATGAATTTGTTCCGAAGTATGAAATTACAGCGACTGCCACGACGTGGAATGGATCGATGAACGATTGAGGTATGGCATACACACAACATCGTCTACCGTGTAAAAATGGGTGTCCTGCAGTTCAGTACTGTACGGTGACAGCTGTCAGATGCAAATGCACACATCCGCCCCAAGTTCTCCAGCAATTGTAATTTAATTGTATTTTTTTTTTATTTTTATTTGTTGTAAAAGTATTAATTGTTTATTTTGATTATTTTGTATTATGATATATTAAGTTTTATTAGATATATTTGAGAGTGTGGTTTTTTGGTATATTATTTTATATTTTGATAGAAAGTTTTATTTATTTATTTCTTGATTTTATGTTATTACGGAAAGTTAATTTTTTTTAATATTTATATTATATTATTAAGATAATATTTGAAATTTAATATTAGTTGAGGAGGGTGGGTTTGTGAAAAGGAGGGGGGATATTGGAGGAGGAAGGGGCGGGATTGGGGGTGTGGCGAGTTGTATGTGAGTAGGGGTAGGAGAGAGAGAGGAGGGATTGGAGATGGAGGAGGGGAAGGGGGGTAGAGAAGGGGTAGTGGTGGAAGGAGTTAAAATTTATTAATAATTTAATTTAATTACTATATTTTATATTATATAACATAATATTAAATTATTATATATTACAATAATTTTTTATTTATTTTTTATATTTTTTTATATTAAATTCAAATTATAATATATTTTATATAATAATTATAAATTTATAAATTTTTTTTTTCAAATTTAATATTATTTATAATAATATATATTATATTATACATAATAATATAAATTTTTTATAATAAAATTTTATATAATAATTTATTATTATTAATTTTATATAAAAATATTTACTTAATATTATATTTTATATTTTAAATTTAATATTAATCTTATAATTTTACATAATATATTAATTATATATCTAATTTAATTAATGATATATTTTATTATATTACACTTTATTTTATATTTTTATATATAATTATTAAATTAAAAGAAATTATTACAATATAATTATATAATATCAATTATATATTTTATATTTTTATTTTTATATACTAATTTAATTATAATTATTTATAACTATTTACTTTATTAAAAAAAAAAAAAATAATTTATTTTATATTATTATTTGTTATAATCCAATATTAAATAATTAATTATTAAATTTTATATCTTAAAATTTTTATTAAATATTTTTTATTTACTAATTTTTAAATTATCATTTATTAATTAATATAATTTATACTTTATTTTTTTATTTTTTGACTATAATTTTATAGTTAACTTTTTATTAATATTTCGCATATATCCTTTTACATTTTGTAGTATATGTAGATATTAAATGTATAATTGACTATTAATTGACATTATTTTATTATTAGTTTTTATTATTACTAATTGGGTAGTTTGTAAGAAGAGGGTGCAGAGGGAGGTATGTGGGAGGAAGGGATTTGTTTATATTATTCTTGTGTTAGATGGTGTAAGATAAGTCGAGGTGGAGTTGTAGGGATGAAGAGGAGGAGAGGGAGTAGTTAAGGATGAGAGAGGAAGTGATTATAGGAAGTTGATTGAGTAGCAGAGTAGCATGTAATTTATAAATGAGTTTGATGTTCAATGATGGGGTGGTAGATAGGGAGAGGAGTGAAAGAAGAGTAGAGGTGAGAAGGGAAGGTAGGAGCGAAGGGGAGGAGTGAGAAGGGGGGTGCGGGGGGATGGAGGGTTGGGAAAAGGGTAATCTGGGTGATGATGCGGTGGGGTGAAGTGAGGGTGAGGTGGGGGAGAATGTGGGTAGGGGAATGGTGAGAAAAGCTATTAGTGGTGTTAGAGGAAGTGGTGAAGATGGATTGTTTTAGAGAGATTATTTGGATTGGGAGAGGTATGTAATTTTTATTTGTTATATTATTATATGTATTTTATGTTAAAGTAAGATGTAGTAATATATTTTATATGAGGACAAATTGTTTATTAGTTTTCTTTGATTAATGTGTTTATTTTTTTAGATAAATTAAATATAATTATATTTTAATTCTGATATATTATATAATTATTATTATTTTTAGAATTTAGTTTATATATTGTTATTATATGATTATTTTATGATTTATATATTGGGTATTTTGATTAATATATATATTATTGTGAAATTATATATATTGTTGAAATTGATTAAATATTTTAATTGTAATATTTTTATTTTTAGTGAAGTTTATATTATTATATTTTTGTTTATTTTTATTAAATTATGTTGGATGTTTTATATAATGTAAAATTTTTTTTTTTTTTTATATTTAGTTGATTTATTTATTGTGATTTGTATATTGTTTGTAAATTATGTGCAGTGGAGAAGAGTGGAGGGGTATTTTGGATAGTATGTGATAGTCGATGATGGGAGGGGAAGTGATTGTAGGGTATGTGTTTGATGTATATTTGATTTATTGTTAATAAGTATTAAAGGGTATAGATTTATGTTTGTGAGTAAAGAGATTGTATGGTGTGGAATGGTGTAGAGAAGTAGTGTATAATGATGAGGGAGGTGTTAGGTGGAGTATGGTTATTATATATTATTTTAATATATATATAATTATTTTTATTAATAATTTATTAATAATATTATTTTAATAATAAATAATAATTTACTATTTTAATATTCTTATTTAAATTATTTTTTTATATCATTCAACAAATTTCTTAATATTTTATATTAATTTTAACTTTAAAATTATTTATATATTAATATGATAATAACTTTTTTTAATATTTTAATAATTAATATTTTAATTATTTTTCTTTATATTATTTTTTTATATAATTTATTATTATTAATTATAATTTAAATATATATATATTTATTAAATATATATTTATATTTAATTTTCCTATATTACTTTATATCTTAAATTTTTATATATAATATCTTTTATATTTATTTTAATTATTAATTATATTATTAAAATATATAAATTTTAAATTATACTATATAAATATATTTATAAATTAATAATTATATTATACATTATTAAAATAAATTTTTAATTATTATTAAATATAATATAATTATATATTTTATCATTTTTAATATTAATATATATATAATTATAATATATATTTAATATTTAATTTTTATCATTAATAATTTTATTATTTTTTATTTATTATTTATTATATTATTTACAATAAATTTTTCATACACCTATAATTATTAAAATTAATAATTTTTATAATTTAAATTATTTATTTATAATATTTCATTTAAATAATATATGACTAGGGGAGTGAAGAGAGACGTGATGAATGGGTGTGGGAGGGGAGTGTGGGTGAGGGAAAGAGGGGGGTAGATGGTGTGGGGGGAGTAGAGGGTAGATAGAAGGAAGGGAGAGATGGGAGGGTGGGGAGGGAGGACGAGGGGGGGGAGGGGGGGGAGATAAGGAGAGGAGGTAGAGGGGAGGAGTAAAGAGGGGAGATGGTAGAGGGGAGGAGGAATAGTAGAGTGGGGAGAGGGAGGAAGGGTAGCAAAAGAGGTTATTTTATTATGATTAATTTTATTTAGTGATTTATTTTTAATTGATTTATAATTATTGTATATAATATGGGATATTACTTTATTGTTAAGTTATATTTTTTATTATTTTGATATTTTTTGATTTTTTAATATAATTGTATTTGATTAGTACTGTTAAATTTTTTTTAATTTTTGTGTAATTTATATATTATTTTATTATTTGTTGTACATATTTGTATTATATTATCAATATTTTTCTACATTTTTTTAAAAATTTTTAATTTTTTATATATAGGTATAGCTTTGTTTAATTTATTGTGTTAAATGTGAATATTTTGTATATATTATATAAGTTTTTTCTCTTAGATATTGTATTATATATAATTTTAATGATTAAATTTAATTGACAAATATTTATATAATGATATTTTTTATTTATATATATTTTTATTTATAGGAGATTTATTGTAATGTTATTAATTATTTTATTTTAAATGAATATTTTTTATATATGATTGTTATTATATATAGTGTTCTGTAATTCTTGATTAATTTGTATATTTATGCTTTTATTATTATTCTGAATTATTATATATTATATTATACATATGTTATATATGTATATTTTTTTATGTATATTCAATTATTATTTTAATATTATATATATATTGATTTATATATTTTTTTTAATTGAATGGTCAATTATAATAAGATTTGATTTTTATGAGAGGGGAGGAGAGGAGGGAAGGGGGGGAGGGAGGAGGGGCGGGAAAGGGGGAGATGGAAGGAGGGAGAGAGGCTGGGAATGGGAGAAGGGGGTAAGGGGGGGAAAGGAGAGGAGGGTAAGAGACAAGGAGGGGAAGGGGGAAGCCAGGGAGATGGAAAGGGGCCTTAGAAGAGGAGGGGGAGAGATGGGGAAACGAAGGGAAGATGGTGGAGAGAGAGGGGATGTGGAATGGTGAAAGAGAGACGGAATTTAGGTGAGAGAGAGAAGGAGGATGAGGGAGGGTGAGTAGTGAGGGAAGGGAAGTGGGGAGGAGGGGGGGTGGGAAAAGGGGAGTAGGGAGGGGGGAGGAGGGAGGGGGGAAGGGGAAGGGGGGAGGAGAAGGAGGGAGGAGTGGAGGGGAAGGAGGTGGGACGAGGGGAGGAGTGGTGGGGGAGAGAGGGGGGGGGAGTGAGGGGGAGAGGGGGATGAGGTTTTTCTTTTATATTCAAGTATTTATATTCATTATGAATTACTTCAATTACGGGAATTTAAGATAAATATTATATGATTTCTTGAATTATTTTTAAAAATTATTAGTGTTATTTAGTGTGTATATTGTTATATGAATTTGAATTGATTGAATATATTAAATACTGATTATTTTTTATAATTTTAATGTTT